ATGGACTATCAGTTATGTAGCTTTAATCTGTGCAGTTCTGAGAAGCATTTCAGGTTGCATTTTCGGCAGCAGGGACTAAACTGGTGCTTGTGTTGCAGATCATCTCATACAAAACCCTCAAAAAGGAGTACAAAATGTTTGAAGCCAAGCGGCGCCTCCTGAACAGCTTTGATCTCTTTCTGTCTGATGACCGAATTAGAAGGCTTTTGCCCTCACATCTGGGAAAACACTTCTATGAAAAGAAAAAGTAGGTCTTTAAACTTTGGAAATCCATTCTTGCATTATCTTTTTTAAGATCAGATTCTTCTTAGTAATGGAGGAATTGGTTTTCTTTTGGGTTTCCTTTTTTTTACCCCTCTCCCTTTCTGTTTTAGGGCACCTTTATCTGTAAACCTGAAAGCCAAAGATCTTGCCAAGGAACTAGAAAAACACATCCAAGGGACTACACTCCCAGTTAACAACAAAGGCTGCTGTTAGTAAGTACAAATGGATTAATACATCTCTTGAAGGATGGTTCTATCTTAACTGTAGGAATTTTAAGTGAGTTATTTTTATTCCTTTAATATGTGAAAAAAAGATGTTAAGGGTCACCATTGCAAATGGAGGGCATTTTGAACCTTTACCTGTATAGTTAAATTGTTCTATTTAAGTTTTACTGTGAAGTTGAGGGGTTTTGTTTCTTTTTCCTTTTCACTAAGGAATTTCTAGGCACCTGGCACTGTCAAAGCACATGTACAATCTTAGTTTTAATCTCATTTAATAATATTTTTATATTTCCAAAATATTCTAATCTAATAAGATTTTTTTCATGTATTGTGTGTCTGAAAGGATCCAAATTGGTAGTAATGCTTTGTAATGCAAGGCAGAAGTTGCATATCCAAATATGGAAAGATGAATACAGGTGAACCCCTTCTAACTATTATCACAAAAGATTTCTGCAATAGCCATCCCTCCTTTATGATAATTGCAGATAAGTGGGCTTTTTGCATTTCTGGGTATGCCTAAACTAAACAAGTGGCTTGAAATAAGTTTGTTTGCCCATATTTAATTATCATTTGTTTTTTCTTCCAGTACAATGCGCATAGGTCACACTGGGATGAAAGTGGATGAGATACTTGAGAATATCATTGCAGCAGCAAAAGTGATTGGTGAAAAGTTACCAAAGGTACTGCTGATCGACTGCATTACAGACAAATAGGTTCATACTTCAGCCTTATTTTTACATAATATACTGGTTTTGTTTTTGCAGAAATGGAAAAATGTAAAAATTCTTCACCTCAAAACACTTAAATCGGTTGCACTCCCAGTATTCACTGCGGATATCTCCAACTTGGATGAGCTTGACAAACAACCATCTCTCAAGAAAAATGAAGTAAAGGTAACCAAAATTTCTTCAAACCTTGCATAAATTAAATCTGCACATTTAGTTGTAGTTCTTTGTTTTCCTTCCATGCATTGTTATTTTGTGTTTAAATGCATTAGCAGCTGATCCCCGTCTTTTATGGCTAAAACAGGTCAGACACTCCTACCTCAGTGCTTCAAATACTCAGCAATAATAATGAATTTATGGCAACTCCCTTACAGGTTTTTAAGCAAACTGGAAATAAGTAAAGTATTTCTAGACCTAAACTCAAGGGACCTGAGATTCATTCTTAGAGCTTTGCTTCTATTGTTTATCCATATTTGCCTTCTGAAAATACACTCATTAATGTATATGTGGATTCAGAGTAGGCATCTGCTTTTTGTTGGTTAATCAGTGGCATCTGAATAATTCTCAATCTCATATATTTCTGTATATAGGGGGACCTCATACTTGTTAAAAAATAATAATTAGCTATGCCTTTGTACTGACTTCTGTTTATGTTCATTTGTCTGAAATTAAATGGGACTGTGAATATTCAACTTAGAGACTGTAAGGTTGACATTACTGTAGTTGTGAGCTACTTATTATAAACTTCTGCATGTAATGCATTTTTTCATATTTTACATATGGCTAAATTAGTCCAGGTCTATTGAATAAAAGTCTTTAATGTTGCTACACCATCTATTTAGAAATGGCATGGGTATTTGTCTGAGATGCACTTCTGATTAATTCTAGAAGGTAAAACCCAAGAAAGTGAAGAAGACAGCTAAAAAACTGAAGTCAAGTCAAGTCACTGTGACAACAGAAAGTAAAGCTGCTGCTGGTACCCAGAAGCCTGTGATAAAAGAAAAGATAGAAATAGTCCAAGAACCAGGTGATGGTGATGATGAAGAAATTCCACAACTGGTGCCTATACAAACAACGAGCTCAGCTGACCTGAAGGTAATTGTTGAATAATATTAAGAAACTTGCATTTCAGTAAAAACTAAAGATTTTGAACTGTTTAAATTGTTCATTGCTCCTTAGGGAACAGTATGTGTTAGCACACTTCAAGACTAGGGCGCAGTTCAGTTGAAAGTATTTGTCATTTGTAATGGTTTTCACTGATCCTTCTTCCTTAAAAACAGGGAATATGTTTCTTGGGTGGAATGGTAATTTTTTGTTTATGTTAAATACAGAAAATGGGACCAAATTCAGAAAAAGGTGACAATTTGGGCAAGAATACCAAAACACCTCTTGGTAAGAGAAAGAAAACATCTCTAGTGGTGGATACGCCAAAATCAAAACCTGAGGTTACACAAGAGTGTGCAAACTTGGAGACGCCATCGAAAAAGAAAAAAGCCAAGCAGGTCAGTAAGCCAAAGGAAGCAATAAAAGAAAAAGACATGAAAAAGGCTCCAAAAAAACCTGAAGCAAAGTCTTTTGCAACACCCAAAGCTGGCAAGTCACGACAGTCAGCCAGGAAATCTTCCAAACCACAGAAGCAGGCACCCAGAAAGGCGCGCGTGCCGCAGTCAGCATGAACCTTGTCTGTTGTAACATATTTTGTATCATCGTTTTCAGGAAACAAATTTATTGATGAAGTAAAATACCTTTGTAGGAAATCTGATCCCAAGAGCTTTTTTTCACCAAGGTCTGTAATGATTCATTGGTTTCCTTCTAATTTACAAGCTGGTATAAATAAACTCCACTGTCTTAATGGTCCCATCACTTTTTATCTTTTTCTGGCCCAAACCAGAAACACTCAAAATTTTCAAGTGTCAGAGGGAAGAGAGGGGTTTATCCCAGGGAAAGAATGCTGAAAAATATTTTGACAAATGCTGTCTTTCCATTTCCATGCAAGAAGCATGCGTGCCAAGAGCAGCAATCTGCATGTGCTTTTAAAGGTGAAAATACTGCTACAGTTTTTAAAAAACTGTTCAATATAATAAAGACAGGTTGACGGTGATTGGTGTTACTGCAGATATCTAAGTTAGCAGCCTGATACCAAGCCCCACATTGTACTTTTTAGCTGTTTTTACCGAGGGTATTTGTGAGTTAAAAAGGCCCAAAGAATTTTGCTTTAACCATATATATATTTTACAACATCAAGCAAAATCTTACCTTCAGTTTTGGGCTTTATTTCTGCTACCAGAACAGTTGAGAGTATTCTTGCATGATGGTCACAGAACTCTTGTTCTTCCATCTGAAAGTCAAAGGCTGTGTAAATTTCCAGTTGTGCCAGCCAAGTGAACTTGTTCTGTTGGCATGAAGAATACATACTTCAGGACTGAAAAGTGATATATTTGACATTTTACACAACTGCCCAGTTGTTCTCTGTATGATAATTTGTCTGTCCTTTGCAGAGTGAGAATATGAGGCAGATTTGTGTTGAAAAGTCCTAGTGGTAAAAACTCCAAATAGGAAAAAGGTGGTAAAAGACAAGATTAATCAGCAGGAAGTAACCAGCCTACTTTGTCTTTGAAAAAACTCTACCACATCTTCTTTTTATGGCATCCTCATTTCAAGATTTTGGCTACCTAGAAAGAAAGTGGGTGCTAAATAAGAGTATGAAAATATTCTGCTTGATCTGTGATGTCAACTTTTTTGACCCTTTTGCAACCCTTTTTGTAACTTTTCAACTATTTTGTGAACCAAAAGCTATGACAGTAATCCCAGTAAACCAATAGCACTCACTGTCACTGGAAGAGTAGCAGCAGTATCATTTAATGCATACTATTTCCACTATTTCCATTCTGTTAGGCCTGGTCCTAGTTCCTGTTGGCTTGATATTTCTAGTTACTGGAACAGTGGCTTATCCATCATTAAATAAGGTGTTAGATATAAGGCCCTTGTGAGAGCAGGCACAGGAGATGCTACATCTAAATACAGTTCTTGTGCTTGAGGACTTAGGAGTGCAGTAAGATTATGTATCAGGTCATTAACACAAGGGTGAACTGAAATGGGTGTCTTGCCTTTTACATAATTCTTTTACTTACTGAATTTTACATCCTGCATTGACAACTTGCTTCCTGTTTGTCAACCTGAACTTGTATTCCAGCTGCTCTTTTTAAGCCTCCTTAAGCACAGTTAAAGCAGTCTATGTCCATTTGCAGATGCACATTTTAACTGTCTTGCAAATCTCTGCTGTCTGTGACCAGCTTGCCTCCCTTGCAAGTGCAGAGATCAATGAACTGGATGTTCATCCGCGTACCTCCCTTCTGGGGTGCCTGAGGCGGCACTGCCTCAGGCGGGCCCAGCCGTGTCCGGCTCACCTGGGAACGGTAGCGAGCACTACTCTCACAGAGGCCTCAGCTCCCGAATGCCATCGGTCACTACGGCTCAGCCTTCGAGCCCACCGCGGCGGGCTGGGGGCTCGGGGGGCCGCTGAGGGCGGCGTGTGCCCGCCTTCGCCTTCCCTGAGCGAAGCTGCGGGGGCGGAGGCGCGGCCCGGCCGAGCCCTCAGATGTGTGGGGGGCGCGGCCCGGCCCTGCCCTCAGGTGTGTGGGAGGCGCGGCCTGGGCGTCCCCTCAGCGCGGGGGGCGTGTCCCGCACCTGCCCGGGTGGGAGGGCGCGGCCCGGCCCTGCCCTCAGGTGGGCGCCGCCCTCGCCTCCCCTCAGGTGCGCGCGGCCCGAGGCGGCGGTGGCGCCGCTCCCGATGGCGGCCCCGGGCGGGCTGGGCCGCTGCGTGGCCGCCTTCTGGCTGGCGCTGGCCTTCGACGCGGTGGGGCTGGCGGTGCTGCTGGCGGGTGTGTTCGCCGACGTGTTCTTCTCCGACCTGCTCATCTACGCGGGCGGCATCGGCATCTTCCTCAGCCTGGTCTGGTGGGTGTTCTGGTACGCGGGCAACCTGGAGGTGCCGCCCGAGGAGCTGCGGGACGACGTGGGGCTGCCGGCGCCCAAGGGCCGCGGGGACACGCTGCTGCGGCGGCTGGTGAACGGCCTCAGCCTCCGCCTCACGGCCGCGCTCGCCCCCGCCCGCCCCGCCGAGCTGGAGCTGCAGCGCGCCCGGGGCCCCCGCGGCCGCCACGCCGAGCCCGGCAGGTGAGGGAGAGCGGGAGGGGAGAACGGCTGCGAGCTCTGACTTCGGCCAGAGCTGGGAGAGCGGTCCTGCCCGAGATTCGGTGTAACACCTGCCAGGTTAAACCACCTGCACGCAGCTGACGCTTCTTAAAATAAAAGTAGTGGGGGATGTTTCTCAGCTCGGGTGGTAAAAAAACGAGTGGGAAAGATTGCACAAGTGGGATTAGGCAGGGAAGACACTTCTTGTCGCCCTCTAAGAACGGAACGGGCGAGCAGGAGCGAAGCCCGGGGACGGTGGTGAGGCTGGCATGCGGATCTAATGCCAGAGAGCAGCACGGGAGCCCTGGGGCTCCGAACTGTTCCTCACAGCAACCAAATGCTGCCAGAAATGGCCATTAACCACTACCCCACACGAGCTCTTGGGAGGGGAAGTCCCCTCGTTAGCACCATGAAATGTTGCTTTTATTGGAGAGCAAGAAAGGTGAAATGCTGACTTGGATTTAATATGGTGGCAGAGCTGTAGGTAAGAGGTTGAAACTCATAAATGCAATCAGTTAAACTGTTTGTCTTGAACCTCAGTCATCTAGAAAAGATGTGATAATACCTGATGTGTAAAGGAAGCGTCTAGGTCCTATTTCAAAGCATGGTTGAAGAACATGAAGCTTTTCAATACACCCTAGTATATTCATTTAGGAAGAAGGCATGCTTAATGCCTTGAAAATGTGTGTGGGGAAAAAAGTCAAGCCTTCACTTCACTATGTAAAATCCTCTGTTGAAGGAACTGTAAACAGTTTTGTACTGTTTGAACTGTTCAAGGATTCTAAACATCTTGCTGTTCCAATTCACTATGTACAAGATCAGCTTTTCCTGCTTCTCCTTGAAACTAAATTCTGAATTCTGTTGATTTACAGAAAAGTTAATGTGAAAATCATCTTCTTTCATGAAAGCTATGAAATTTTTCTTGAGAGAAAGTTTTAACAGTAGGGAGATTGAGTATAGATAATTATTCCTTAATAGAAAACTTGTAGGAGGCAGGAAAGAATAGCAGCAACACCACTTTCAAAGATTGTTACTGCTCTTTAGTTGATTATTAACCACACCTGCAATTTAGAAAACAGGCAGTTGAAAATGAGCCATTCTATTTTCAGAGCTCTTTTTTTTTTCTGAAATGGGTCTAAAATTGGCAGGTCCCTATTTGCAGGGAATGATTTGCATTTATAAATGGCTATGCAGAACCATTCCATGGCAATTGCAGGTATTGAGCTCAGTGGATAATCTGCTATCTCTGTAGATGCAATGTGTGCACATGGGTATGTATTCTGTTTTCATGAACTCCTAGTAGTGAAAGTTATCCACTATTTTGAAATATTTCAAGTCTTATTCCCAATTGTAATTAGATTTATATGTCCTATAGGGATGTATAAATAAATAAATAGTGATTTAATACAAAATATCCTAGCAGCTTCTGTTGCTACAATAAACAAACTTCAGTAATGGTAATTCAGAAGGAACCAAAACAGGGGGTGTACAGCAGTTATGTTACATATTAGAACATAAACTCTTTGATTTTACTTGCAAGGTGAAACAAAGGATAACAAATGGTTTCACCTTGAAAGATAATTTAGAGTTCCTTTTTGAAGTAAGCTCACCTAAAGTATCTTAGAACTTCTCGTAAACAACTGAATCAGATCGTTCCTTGCTGATAGACCAAATCCTCTCCCCATCAGGAGATATTTATGAACTTAACCAAACGGGTTAAACATGTTTGGGCAGATATTGTCTGCACAAGGAGGAAAAAAACCACCACCATACACACACACATTCAGAAAGGAAAAAACAACCAAAAAGCCCAAACAAACAAAAACAACCAAAAACCAAACCACCAAAAAACAAAACAAACCCCAAATGTCCTCACTTTACTGGCCATTTGGAAACCTTGAGCAGTAATTTTTTGAAGTTAGGTTGTTCTGATTTCCTATCTTAAAAATTATATAGTAGAGAAAGGTGAGAATTTTTATGATATGGAATGCTTCTATTAAAGGAATAACAAGTAGATTAGGATCCTCAAGCCTGAAAAGAGATGCAGAATATAAAGTGCTCCAGAAGCCTATGTAGTCACTATGGGGAAGGTATGAAGTGCTTGCCTGCCAAGGCAAAGCAGGAACAAACTGTCCTGTGCTATGTGACTGAAGTGTGGGATTACTTGATGTGGGACAGATGAAAGTTCACTGATTCAAATATCCAAAGGACAAAGCAGAAGATATATGATAATATAAAGAGAATATGTTTGGCTCAGGAAGACCTGGGGCAGTGAGTGGCAGTTGATACCCTGAGGAAATATTACCTGTGTGCCATATTCTTATGCCTTCAGTGAGACACCACACTTGGCCACTACTGGAGATGGGCTGGTGACTTGATGGATCTTTTCTTTGGGTCCCAATTGGCTGTTAAACATGAGGAAAAGTACTTTTAAAATGGACCTTAAGTAACAGTTTAGAGTTATATGACCACTTGTTCTAAGACTATTTTGGAGTAACCTTTTCTTCATGTGTTATCTTCAGGATCTGTTGAAGGCATGACCAATGAAGTTACTGCCCCAAAAAGTGGGGGAAATGCTGCAAATTATGGAAGGAGATTCCCTACTCAAAACAATAGGATTCTCTCGTTGTGGAATAACCTCTGCAAGCATTGTGGACTCTCTATGAAATGGACATGTGGAGCCATATCTCTGCCAAAAGCACCTGTTTCAGTGTTGGACTGGATATACTTTGAAATTATGAAAGAAGATCCCACAAAATCACTTTAAGAAGTGAGAGCTAAAAGAGAATTGAACCTGATTCACTGAAATATCAGTGCAGCTTGTCATATAGTTGGTTTTATTGTTTTAATTATTATTATTATTATTTTTAATAACCTGAAAGGTTTGGATAAAAAAACTCTTGCACAATGAAAAGCTCTTGCACTGTTTTTTACCAAGGTCTGGAAGTTAAACTTACTGTGAATTTTTATAAAGCCAGTGCAATACTTTTGTTTGTAAGGGTGCTTTTAAAATGTCTATATTAAACTGTTGATGCAAGGCTGCAAATGTAGTAGAAGTTGTTTATAGTGTAAATACACAATTTACAGTGTCTCTTGTAAAAGTTTCACTGTTATTCTGAAATAACCTGGAATCTGAGATTTTATAAGTAGACAAATAACACCAGTGGTGTTGGCATACAAGTACATTCTTTGTAGTTACAAATGATGTAATACAATGACTCTTGCAAGAGGCATTTTTAGTCCAGTGATGTTGGAAATTATTTTCCTAATGCTGAAGCATTTGAGAGAGGGAACATGACCAAAGGAAACCCTGTTGATTAACAAGAACTCCAAGGCATTATAAAACATTAACAAACAGTACCTGGAAAATTATTTATATTAATGTTAGTGATAGCTAAAATTGTGCTAATGATAAAATTGTGTGGAGAATTTCCTCAGGAGTTCTTCTGGTTTTGAACTAACACTAAGAGTTTGGTGCCACCATCAGCAAATACTGGTAGGTCTTAAAATTTCAATGCACAATTGTTCTATGCCACACCTCACTGAATACTAGAGGTGGAATTAAGGAAAATATTTACTAAGAACACTGTGGCTGTACTTCCTTATAAACTCTTGAAATGTCTTTCAATGTTTTCTTGTAGAATTACTGGAGTAACTTCTTTTTTTTTGCATATTCTCATTTTTAAATGTTTTCCAAATGCTACCTTTTAACAAATTCAGAAGAACACTAAACTTTAAGGTCTGCAGTGTGATTTCTCCTTTACTATCTGCAGTTTTTAGGAGATGTATGCAATTTGTTTCCTCCTTTTAATGGAACTGCAACGTGACACCACTGCCGTGTTACAATGGCCTGATTAAGAAAACCAAACAAGCTCCTCCCTTAAAACCTGTAGATCAGTTTTCATTTGCAATAATTGTTTCATTTCATTTTTCTGAACAGAAAGAAAAGCTTTTGCTGATTCCCCATAGTTTCACTTATAAAGTGAATTATGAAATATGGTGTTTAATAAGAGGAATGATTACCAGTAGCTATACATTAAGCCAATACTCATATATGTACTTCACATACTTAGTCTGTGAAAATCAAAAATTTCTATTCAAGTGTTGCAATAATAATTACTAGACTGAACTGAGCAGGCCTTTACATTCCTTGGATATTACAATGTAATTAATCTTAATATCAATTAATCCAATATCAATACTTAATGATTGTTGCATAAGATGGTAGCTAGAGTGTAACTTCACTCAAAAGTTGTGTAGAATTCCAGCTAGTTTACTAGTATGAATAGTATAAGTTTTAAAAATGAAATCTAGGAGCTGATCCATCAGTTAAGGAGGATGTTAAGCACACAAAAGCACTAAAGCAGTAGAAGGTTGCTGAGATGGTGAGCCCAAGCAATGAGTCAGACAGTATGTGTGTGGAGCAGTGATATCTGTTGTAAGTATTGTAACTATTGTCTTTTTGAAAATGCATCCAGTTACTGTTTCATGCAATCAGTTTGCCTTCTAAACCAGGAAGGCTAATACTAAACACAAACTGAGCATCATCTGCAGTTACACATTAACAAATATTTAACACTATTTTAGTTTCATGATATCCTTATCAGCTCTGCTCAATGCAGCACAAAGTCCATTCAAAGAACTTTACATTGTTGATTGGAAGAAAGCCCTTGGACATGTTTAGGACTGCTTGTTGTTATGTGAACAGAGTTGTACAGCTAAAAGAATTCTTCTAACCATTGAGGAAAGTGCCATGCATGCTGTTTAAAATCTTAGCCAAAATCACAAAGAACCAAACTAGTTCCAGAAGTGAGGCTACAGGAGTGTTTTCCATCTAGTTAAGTCTTAAAACTAGCTCAAAATGTCATCCTACATTCCACTAATGGAAAAATGCCAACCCCAGCTTCCAACTATGTCGACGGATTAAATTGTTAGACTTAAAACATTGACTGCATCTAATGGAAGTTTTCTTGTGGTATATAGTGT